GCAGAGCAAGGATTTAAACACACATCTAACTCTAACCAACCATGTTCTTGACCACTCTGCTGGGCTCATTAGTGCTTAGCAATCCTTGATTGTTATGTACAAAGGAGGCCCTGATTTAGGTGCTGAGTGTGTGGTATGGGTACAGGTGTTGGGAAAAGAGGAGTAGAGAAGACAGAGTCACACATACACAGTTGTAATAAACACAGCCTATATGATACCCAAGATAATAGAGAAAAATTAAGTATTAGGAATGAGCAAATAAAGGTTTAAATCCAGTTTTTGCCACTTGCTAGGTACAAGATTAGATCAGTGAAATTTTCAACAGGAAAGCTAGTTGAGTATGAAGTATGTGAAAGGACTACTTTGAGAGATATTAAGACAACCATGGTGGTGCATGCCTATAATTCCAACACTTGGGAGACAGAAGCAGGAGGATTGCTGCTAGTTTGAGGCCATCAGGGGCTATATAGTGAGTTCAAGTTCAGCCTGAATTACCTTATGAGACCTCATCTCAAAAAAAAAAAAAAAAAAAAAAAGAGATTAAAAGACAGAGACAGAGATTAAAGAGAGTGGTGGTTGTGTGGTGACACATTCAGGTACTAGCAATAATGGAAGCTGATAATGTCCCTCAGTCTAGAAGGACCAGGGTAGGGTGTTACCAGTTCAGCAAGAAATGGCATTTTGGAACTGGGTGTTGGGGGTGGGCAGGCATGTTTGCCTGATGTGAAGTGTTCATACTACTACATCAAGGTGAAGCCCTGCCCCTGGAAGAGAGGAAGTAAAAATACCACCCTGATTCCATTCTTGGGCTGTCTGCTATGAGCTGAACCCACTACGAAGCCAAGCTACCAGGGCACTGACAGAGCACTGTCCACCCACTGTCCACAGAGCCCTGTCTCCCAGCTGGAGAGAAAATCCTTAAACAAGTCACTTGCCCTCTCCAAATTTTAATTCATTTATTGGCATAGTGCTTACCATTTTAATAGTTGTCTCTATAGCTTTTACTTCTGATCTTTTACTTTGAAAACTTCAAACTTGCAAAGAAATTTTAGGAATAGTATAATGAATAAATATATATTCTTTGCCTACCTTCCCCAATTCTTAACACTTTGTCACTGTTGTTTTATTATTTTGCTACCAACACATTCACATATATTTTTGCTGAACCATTTGTGAGTTACTTGATGACAGCCCAATACTTAGACCCTGAATACTTAGGAATCAGCTAAAAACAAGGATGCTTTTCTGTAGAATACAATGGTGAGACTCAGGAAACTTAACACTACGAACTATTACCGAATAGACTTTGTTGTCAGCTTTTTCTCTAGGGTTTCAGTGATGTGCACAGTGGAGGATCATACACTGAATCATCATATCTCTTTATTTCTCATTAACCTAGAATGGGTTTCCAAGCTTTTCCCTTTATAATCTTTCTTGGCATTCACAGTTTTATGTAGGAATGTAGTTCCATGTCAGGAGTTATGGAGACTGTGAATTTGTCTGGTTATTTCTTCATTATTGGATTCAAGTAAAGCAATTTTGGCAATAATGCTGTAAAGGCATTGTGTTCTTCTCAGTGCATTATATCTGGAGGTACATGGGATCGGAATGTTTCTCATAGGAAATCTTCAGTTGGGTCCCTTGCTTGAGGCAATATTACTAGATTTATCAATTATCTCATCCACTTTGTAATTATTCTGTAATCTACTAGGTAACAAGTGAATAAATATCTTTTTTAAAATCAGGATTCTTTCAACAAGTGGTTTCTACAACAGTCAATTTTTCTTGCTATGATGGAAAGAGTTTTATAGAAGCATAATTAGGTAACTTGTTAAGATTTGTTTGAATTTCTCATCTCTTTTTCCATTAAACTATTTTCATTCATTTTCATTTAGCAAATGTTCACAGAATATTACTTTTATGCCCTGGCCTATCAAATTTTTATCAGTATCTGCATGGATGCCTAAGCCATGGATGACCTTTAGATATCTTGTCAATAAATTGTAGCACTGTCTTCTCCGTGATTGTACAAAAATAAATTAAAAAGAAAACTCCAAAGGACTCATATGTTGAGTGGCCAGTCATCATAAGAGGCCTCTTATAACTCTAGCATGCATTATCATCTCTAATCCTTGCCATGGCCTTGAGAGGTAGATGCCATTATCCAAAGGCCATCAGGCTCTCTGGGACAAGGCAACGGCTAGCTAGTCTTCATGCTGCATTCAAATCCAGCTCTCTTTGACTTCAAATATTTAAAGTAGTGATTAAGAGTATCACAGACTTCAAATCTCGGCCTTATCACTACTACAGGGAATTGTATAAGTCACCTTAGCTTTCAGTGTCTTGATTTTCTTCTTTTATAAAATAGAAAATATTATGACCTGTATCTTGTGTGGTTGTTATGAGACTTGAATAAGAGAAAGTTTGACGAATGTTTGAACAGTTCTTCATAATGCCACAGTAACTTTCAAGCTGCAAATCTCATGTCATCCTGAACACCTCCCTCTACTCACTGATTAGTTTCTTAGGGATGTTTACTTCATGGGTTTCATTACCTTAGGTTTTTTTTTTTTTTAGTTTATTGGTACATTTTAGGTATACAGTACAGTAACATTCATTATTGGGATCTTGGTTTTTATTTATTTATTTTGGTATCGGGGATTGAACTTGGGTCTTTGAGCTTGTGAGGCAGGCGGCTGCACCACTGAGCTAAATTCCTGGCCCTAACCTTAGTTTAGATAAGAGGTTGATGAACTATGGTCCACTGGTCAGATGCAGTCTCCATCTGTTTTGCAAATAAAGTTTTATTAGAAAGCAGCCATACCATTGGTTTAAATGTAATCTATGGCTTCTTTCACTCTCAAGTGACAGGGTTGAGAAGAGGCAACAGACACCATATGGTCTGCAAATCGTTCTTTATGATCTGGACCTTATAGTAAACAATTTCCAATTCCAAGTACCTAGGGTGTTGGAGTAGTCTCAGTCCTATTTTTCCTCTGAACCTGACTTCCCAAGCCTCCTTTCTGTGCAGGGAAAAATTTCCCTAAATTTGAACTATGTTGTACCAGTTTGCTTTTTGTGCTTCTTGGCTCTCACTGCTAAGGGTGTGAGCCTCTGTGTGCATGCTGGCAGTGTCTTCTTACTGTTACAAGCTCTGAAAGACCGTTTCAATTTTGGCACCTGCTGATCTTTAGGTCTGAGTTCCAACTGTCTGCCCTTTTCCTCAGCAAAGAGCTCTGGTTTCCTTCCTCTGAGAATCTCTGTCTGAGATCCATAAACTACACTGATGGCTTCTGCTCATCTATGGTTCATGCACTATCTCTAGTCTCCTATTTAACTCCCTCTACCATGATCATGGGTTTAGCTGCCAGCCACAGTGTGGGATCCGTCTGAAGGTACAAATACACTTTTTTCACTCTTTATTTTGAAATCTCTAGTGCCCATTCTGAGATCTGGCTCTTAATCTGTTCCCATTAGATTATCATTGCTTGCTGGTGTTAGAGCTGGGGTGTTAAGGCTTCCATAATATGTTCCTAGGGGAACAGAGAAAAGAGGAAAGTCGAGAGGGGCTTCCTGGAAGAGGAAACAGCTTAGCTAAGTCCTAGAGGATGAGAAAGAAGTGAAAAGGAGGTAACGGGAAAGGAAACGGGTGAGATGATGAGGCCTGAAAGATACAAGTTGGGGTAATGGCAAGCTGAGGGTAAGGCTTGTATGAGGTGCTGGAAAGGGAATTATTGAGTCCCTGTTTTGCAAAGTCTACTCTGCTGAGAGGCATGGACAACAGGAAGCCACAGAAGACTGAGGCAGCTTTGTGCCAGGCTCCATGCTCACCTGCCTGTCCTCATGTTGCTTTGCCAGGGGACCCTTAGGCATTCACTAGGCTTTTGTCTTCCTAAGTGCACACAATTCCTAGCAGGTTACGGGTTCCCTACAAATGTTACATTCATCATGGAAATGTATGAAAACTGCCTAGATTTAAGGGTGGTGGGAGTCTTTGATGTTTAGTTTTCTATGCTATGTATTATAAATATTTGATATATTTTGATTCCAAATATTTAATATAAAGTAATATATTCTAAATTCTTAATATTCTGTATAATTTAGAATTCTAATTAATAGCACTTATTGGTGAGCATTTGTGCTGTCTACAGCTTTTAGAAATCTAAGAACTCTGATCATACTTATTCTTAGGTTTTGGATTTTATGCTTAAAAATATTCTTATTAGAAAAAAATCTATCCACTTATGGAAGTTTTAATATCTTGGGTAAATTTTGGTTGACTTTTTCTGGATCTTCTCCAACTCAGTTTTGTTCTTGTTAAGGCTTTCAAGAGCATGTGCATTCTTTTTGGATCTGCAAAAAGAGGCAGTTTTTCCTGCCTCTTTTTTGGTTTATTTTTTGTGATTTTGGCATTTTCTGTGGACATAATGCTAAGTGCAGTTAGATGAAATAATCTCTTGACCATGAAGCATACCAAGGGGCCCTTAGAAAGATGATTTTTATCGGTGGAGTGTGGAGTTCTTTTTAATGATATCCATGGACAAAAATCTGTTATCGGCTCAAGCGTTCAGAGGGCTGATAGCTGAGCTGTATAGTGAATGTTGATGAAATGAACTAAGTGGCAAAAGATACCTAGATGATAGAATAAAACTGGGATGTAGGGAGACCCCTGCACTCCAGGAAATTCTCTAAGTCTCCACTTAGTTATCCAGATCCTCAAAGTTAACACAAAGCTTCAGTTTCAAATTGAGTACGTTTTTCCATCCATGGATTGGCTTGTTTGTTCAGTTTTACTTTGAGTGTTTGAGGTTCTCTTTTCGACGTAACAGTTTAAACCCACGACTTCCTTTCTCGTAAAACCAAAACAAAAAGGCTTTCTACTCAGGTGCCCTCTATGTGTGCTCATGTGTAGTACATATCTGGGATCAAAGGTGACTATGTGTCTATATAAAGTCCTTGAATCTGTGTGGGTTCAAACACATTTCAAAGGTTCAGGATCCTGAAACGTTTCGCTCTGCTTCCTGAAGACCCAACTTGGCTCCCATAAAGCCATGGTTTGCCTTGTGCTCTGGGGGCACCAGGCTTGGCCGAAGCTGCTTCCCATGACCTGGCCCTGCTCTGCCCTTTTTTCTCTTCTCTTCCTGCCTGCCTTCTCTAAAGGTAAGTGGAATCTTGGAACATGAAGGCAGAGGAAGTGTTTCTCTCACCTGCATTTCATTTCTTTCAGCAAATCAAAGGCAGTGATTTCTAGTAAAGCCAGACATTCAAGGTAAGCCTCCAGTCCCCTGGCTTGGATGGCTCTGTATTCTAAGGCAAGCAGGGGACAGCTAACAGCACCGAATGAGCAGAGGTAGAGCTTGTAATAGAGTGTCAGATTTTTAGCAGGGGCTTAGTGAACGTATGGGAGTGCTAGGAGAGAGACATGAGCAATTTCAGACATATCTATAGCATTTTGGAAGAAAACTTTGTAAAAAATTATTTAAGCAGGAAAAGACATTGTGCAGTCCTGAATATGTTTGAGCTTGCTAGTAGTGTAAGCCCAAGATTTCCCTCTTTAAAAAACTGATTTAATCAAATTATGGAATTCTTTTCTATACAATTCAAGGCTTTGAGGTGTGCTCATTCATTAATTCTGTAAACTAGTTGGCTAACTTGTTTAAAATCTCAGCAAGTCATGGGAAGAATGCCTCCTTTAGTCCATTCAAAGTTTTAAGCTCCTCTTCTTAATCATATAAACTAGTTAGCCAATTATTTTAAAAATGAAAGAGTTGGAAAGGAAGGAAGACTAGAAAAGAAATAAAGAAAGGAAATCATCAGTGTGTATAGCATAAGACTTACATGCAGATTTTGGATGCAGACCCTCAGTTTTCAAATGAAATAAAGCTCTATATAGCCTGATACCAGATTCATTTCATGCCTTAAAATGATGAGTACTCCCACTGAATTTCAATCTTATTCCTCTTCTGAGTTAGAAAAGCATGTGTTTTATATGAAGTATGTGCTCAAAAGATATTTGATTTAGTTTTTGCTGGAGAAGTATTTATATACATTTTCTATTTTATGTACTTTGAACATGAAAATGTTAGTACCTTTAGAAGTATTCCAGTTTCTTCCTTAGGACTTTATCTCAACCAGTAAATAGGATCTTCTCATGGTGGATACTGAAAAATTGAGTGTGAGCAGATTAGTGGTGATAAAGCGTGAGCTCACCTGGGGTGGAGGACAGTAACCTTGGTCTTCCTTAAACTTAGAGTCAACACAATAAAGAAGATTGAGCACACTTTTGGGCAGGAAACCACTGCTCACTCCCAGGAGTTTGGGAGACACAGGTAAAAGAGAGGGTAGTCTGATTAGCACACACAAATTTTTAATAAGGCAGAGCTTGCTTTAGCACCACAGTGGAGGGCTGGGGATTTAGCTCAGTGGTTCTCTGCTTGCCTTGCAAGCAAAAGATCCTGAGTTTGAGCCCCAGTACTAGGAAAAAAAATTTTATATGTATAATAAAACATCACAGTGGATTTACTACAGGGCAAAGGATGCTAAGAGGGCATCTGTATGATAGGAAGAGTTGAAGGTTGAGAAAGACTATTGTCTCACTAGCCAGAGCTCCTGGAGTAACCATGGCAATGACTCCTGCCTTATGTTCTCTTTTGAGGACAGCTGTTGTCCAGTACAGGCAGGAACTACTGTTTCCAGTATTGGATGATTAATTTGAGGTAGGATAGGTGTCTTGGAAACTAAATAATGGACCTGAGACATTGAATGCTAGTTATCACATTTGTTTTTACAATCAGGGCATCACTTTCAAGATTCAGAGAGGGATGATGTTAGTTACAAAAAGATCACTTGCGATAAAGCTGCTAAATTTTAGATGATTTAAGACTCTGCATGGAGAGCCGGCTTCCCTTATCTTGTAGAAGCCAGAGGGAAAAGAAAGCCAAAGAAGCAAGACAGCATTCGAGTGAAGGAGAGAGGGAGGAAGGAAGAGGTGGTGGGGATGGCAGGGGAAGCCCAAAAGCGAACAGCAGGGTTGCCTCAGCCCAGAGAGGAAACGACCAGGTGCCCTTGGTTCTGTGGCTTCCCCATTTATGAGCATCTGCCACTCTACAACAATAGTGTCAGGGGAGGGGTGGCAGGGCTGTGCTACTCCTGGGTGACAGAGGTGCAGGGTCAGTTAGGCAAGGAGGCAGAAGCTTTTGAGGTATGGGTTGAGATATTAGGCAAGACACTGTACTCAAACTCGCGAATTTCCCCTACTACTCATTACAGTACCTGAATGACACAGTTTTATTACAACTGCATAATACCAGAGTTGGTAGGCACTTTGATATCACGTGATCAAAACCCTTTTCCTTCATGTGGGAAAAACGAGGGGAAGAGCAGTTTGCTAAATGATCCATTTCATGATAGAGCCACATCTTTTACTTGTCACATCCATGTGTTTCCTGCCTTAAATGTCTTTAAGAAACTGTTTCTCAGTAAGGAAACAATCTTAGGGAGAGTAACTGGCAGACAGTGAGAGATGTAGAAGGCTCTAGGATGGGTAAAGAGGGAAGGAAAATGGTGGATTTGCTGGAGGGGGAACTTTTAGGGCTGGGAGGTGAGGCCGGAGGATTCATCTGAGATAAACATTCCTGGGCCAGAAGTGCTGCCTGGGCCTGGCATGGATGTGCACTGAGTTTCCTCTTGCTTTTCCATGCCAGCAATGCACGTGGCCCAGCCTGCAGTGGTGCTGGCCAGCAGCCGGGGTGTTGCCAGCTTTGAGTGTGAGTATGGTTCTTCACACAATGCCAATGAGGTCCGGGTGACCGTGTTGCGGCAGACAGCCAACCAGACCACTGAAGTCTGTGCGGCGACCTACCCCGTGGAGAGGGGGCTGTCTTTCCTAGAAGACTCTGCCTGCACTGGTGCCTCCAGCGGGAGCAAAATGAACCTCACCATCCAAGGATTGCGGGCCGTGGACAGCGGGCTCTACATCTGCAAAGTGGAACTCATGTACCCACCGCCATACTTCGTGGGCATGGGCAACGGGACCCAGATTTATGTCATTGGTGAGCAAGGCCATTTCACTAAGCTGACACCTTTTGTGTCACAGTCTTCTTTGTATGAAAATAAATGTGTCCCTTTATTTTAGATCACTCATTTGTAGGACTGTGGAAAGGCTCCTTCAGAGTTCTCTATCATGGAGTAGCCTTGCTTTATGGGCAGTGACATAAATAACTCTGATTACAAAAGAAAAGGAGTTGGGGAAGGTGTTTATTTCTGTGACAACCACATGAAGTTTGCCTTGTGCCTTTAATATGACACTCTAGGGTGGTTGTCTTAAAAAGCCACGCTTTTCCTGGATGACCAATGAGACTTAGGGCTGGGCAGCAAGGTCTGGAAGCTCTATGTTGTTTTCTCACTGATGCGGGAAGTGGACCCTAATGTTGAAACCAGTCTCAGGGAGGCTTTGTTATGTTTCCTTTGCAGATCCAGAACCATGCCCAGATTCTGACTTCCTCCTCTGGGTCCTTGCATCAGTCAGTTCAGGGCTGTTTTTTTACAGCTTCCTCATCACAGCTGTTTCTTTGAGCAAAATGGTGAGTGGTGCCAAAAGGGTGCCAAGTTTGGTGGGGAGGTACTCAGTCATTTAGTTCCCCGTGTCCAAGTTAATTTTGGGCAATGAAGCTATCCATAAAGAGGAGGAAGGACAGTGGCAAAGAACACACTAGCACCCTGAACACTGGCCTTTGGGGTTTCAGGATGACTAATATGGGCATTAACATGTTTGACATTGAATGTTTGTGTGCTTCTGAACAGTGTTTCAGTTTGAGTAACTGTTTGAACAACACGGGGCAGCTGTTTTGTTTTGCACCTTCATGACAACTATATTTAAGATCATTATTCAAAATACAAGATTGGTTGGGCCAAATGTTGCTAGTAAGGACCATTGGGATGGACTTTTATTCTCCTCGTAAATGTTCCTCTCCTTCGTGTGAAAATCATCTCTTGGGGCCACCCTATGCCTTCCATGTCTAAACTGTAGCTTTCCAGGGGCTCCCTGTCCCTATTTTGCAGTCTTTTTGATGGAGACACCTTTCTTTCAGCCCAGTAATGAAAGTCCCATTTTCATCTACTATAATAGTTGGTGATAAAAGAGAAAGAGGTATGAAATCAGGCCTCCTAACAATCCCTGTAAGCACCCTGTGCCTCTATCACAAACTACTCTCTCCTTTCTTCTCCTTTCTCACCTTTCTTATCCCCTTTCTCCTCCTCCTCCTCCTCCTTCTTCTCCCCCTCCACTTCTGTTTTGCTCTTTCTCTCTCTTCTCACTCACATACACGTACGCCTCCCTAAACCAGTCAGGTTTTGAATTGAAAGAGCCTATTCTCAACTCACAGTGATACTGGGTAGCTGCATTGCTGTGTGTTCTTCCTACCTCATTTTGCTATAGATGGCCACACAGACTAACAGACTAGACCTCAGTTTACTGAGGTAGTAAAGATTGGTAGCTAATGCAGACAGAAAAGTGGTGATTAAAAACATGTGAAGAACGGAGACAATGATAACTAAGATTGATTCCTATTAAGCTTCTTCCTCCACAGACGAGAGCTGGTCAATTTTGGTGGTATTCTGGGTGATATGTTTTCTCAAAGTCTCTTTCTTCTGTCTTCCAGTCAGGGAAAATGGTTACTATTTTACATCCAAATCACTGAATTACTTATCTACAATGAATTTTAATAGTAGAATCAAAAAAATCTCCTGGAGTCCATAATTCTGTATGCTGTGAACACATATTTTCTGTGGGGTAGGGACCCAATATTTGCTGAATCTAATTAGGGCTAGATGTAGCTTTTGTACTCTTTGTTAGTAATTACTGTTTCTTATTATATTTGGCAGCTAAAGAAAAGAAGCCCTCTTACAACAGGGGTCTATGTGAAAATGCCCCCAACAGAGCCCGAATGTGAAAAGCAATTCCAGCCTTATTTTATTCCTATCCATTGAGAAGCCATTGTGAAGAGGAAAGAGCATATTTCAAATTTCTAAGAGCTGAGGCAATTCTAACTCTTTTTTTACTCTCCAGTTATTTTGTTTGTTTGTGTATTTGGGGGGAATTCACCTCTCTTTAATATAAACTGGGAGCAGAACTCAAATTAAGCACATTACAATTTAAAGCAGAGGAGCAGGAAAGTGGAATGACAGTGTTTCTGCCACATGAAATCCAATTTTAGTAAAAGCATCATTTGGGAGCAACAGAAGGAGGCAGCATTAGGAGACAGTGTCAGGAAATAAGTCTGGGAATGACATAGTCCAAAGAAAGGGAAGGGAGTGGGGAGAGGACTACTGTACACACCTTATATTTACCTGTGAGATGTCTATAGCTGAAATGATCTTTTATACTTTATGCTGTATTATTTTTCTTATCATATGTATAATTATACAAAGATTTAAAAAGTATTCACCTGGCTATGTTTTAGTCAGTGATTCCAAACGTTGTATTGTACCAATATGCATTTTAAATAGTATTATGCACGGGAGTCGCATGTTCTTCTGTGTGTTTGCTGAGGATTTGAATATAAACACTATATAACAGTGTTTTCCCACCACAGCTTGCAGGGAAGGTTAGTGGATGAGCTCAGGACACTAATATGCCAGGGAGAATGCAAGGTCCCCTCCTGACTGGTTTGGAAATGGGATGAGTTTGTACCAGTACTCAGTTGTTCCGAACTGGTGTTGACATGAGCTTTGGGACTATAAGAAAGCTCCTTTTAGTGATCTGCAAGGAAGCTGAAGCTGGGTATCTTTGGTAACTTGACAGAACACTGCTGTCAAGACGATGAATGATTCACTTCAGGAGATCTGTAGGGATGACTTTCCAGAAGCTCCAGTCCCACGGGCTAAATTCCCTATACACACGGCTAATGCCACAGACAGAAGACAGCAGCGGGTGCCAGAATGGAGTGCATATAGTTTTCAAAAAATGAACACTGTTTGTGTTTTTTAACTCGATATTTTCTATGAAAATGAAAACAAATGTATAATATTTTAAATTAAATAAAAATCTTTGATAGTTTTTTTTCTGAAGTTGTCTGTATCATACTTGAATTTTAATGTTTGATCTTGGGTTTGATTGATTTATTCAGCAGTTTGTGGAGTCCGGAGAAGCACAAAAGGGCAAATGGTGCTTTGTGAGCCAGTTATGTACCAGCCCATTACTTTCACACTCTTTTTGTAGGGAATTCATCCGCTTACCTTTTGATTTCTTCTACTTGAGATGTAATGTGGGTTAACATAGGCACAGTGATCCTTTAAAAAAATCCCCCGGTTTAGTTTTCAATACAAGTTCTTCACCTTGTCTTTCTTACCCACAGCTTTTTCAGCTTGTCTCACACAGATTACAGTTGCCATGGCAACACTAGTGTCAGCAATGCCCCTTGCAGCCATTTTGATTTGTCTTCATGGTAAATGGAGCTTTGTTATGTGCTTTACAAATGGACTATATTGCAAATGTTTTTGTAAATTGATGTTAACTGGAAAGACCGAGGCTTGGCCCACTGAGGTCTTTCTGATTCCTGGTAACAAATGTGTGGCCTCAGAACTTAAGATTTCTCATTCTTGACCCTCACGTCCTTGTTGCATTGCGCCATGATTCTCAGTGTGGTCATGGACCATCTGTAACTGAATACACTGGATTCTTTATTAAAACACTGATTCAAGTGCTTACTCCTAGATGCACTGATTCACTTTCTTTTGCTGGTGTGCTCAGAACTTTGCACTTCGGAGAAATTCTCTGTTGTTTCTTATTACCCACTAAGTTTTGAGCATTATTCCTTAGGCAGGTTTCTCTATCTCTATCTCCATCCCTGTGCCTTTCAATTTCGCTCTCTTTTCTCTTTCTTCTTTCTCTCCATAGCTGTCCTTCTTGATCAGTTTTGCCTTTCCTTCCTTTTCTCCTTCTTTTCTTCCTCCCTCCCTCCCTCTCTTCCCATCTCATCCCCCCCTCTTTCTCATCAAGTCCTAATAAACAAATGTGATAGTACCTTAGTAGTACACATTTCACAAAGGTTTCTTAAATAAAAATGAGCAGATCTTTCAAAACAGAGCTATAATTATTACTTCAAAAGAGTCCCTACTATGTGTTTCTTCTCCTTTTTTTTTTTTTTTTTTTTTTTTTTGTACCAGGGATCAAACTTGGGACCTTGTGCTTTTGAGGCAGGCAGTGGCATCACCGAGCTAAATCTCTGGCCCGAGTCCCTACTATGTGGAAGATTATGCTTTTTTGCTCTCAGCATTTGTTTGGTAGCCATTTGAAACATACAGTGTGGAGGCCCAGTGAACAGCACGATATCATTTCTAATACTCCAGATATCTTTAGAGAGATCGTTCTGTTCCATAGTTGGTGGTAGATCTGAATGACAGAGAGAGCCCTATGAGGTCCCCCACAAGTACCTTTCAGACTATTAGATAATGGGCTATTTTACATAAGCTTAATATCTCCTCCACTATTACCTGAAATGCTATCATTTGTTACTTAGGGTAAGCATTTCCCTTTGATCTAAGTTTTGTAAAAATAAAATACTCCTTAACTCAAAGTTTTCCCTAGAACAGAGAATTCAACAAAAAAGATTGTGAACTAGTGTTTCACTGAAAAATAAGAATATAACTATGATGGTGGCACCACATGAAAGTTTTTCCCAATCCTCACTTTGTTTATGACAGCAGAGTTGTTGCCTGCAATTCTTCAAGAGGTGCATTCCTCCAAATTAGAGGACCAACTCTCTTGTGGCATTCCAGACTTCATTATCATTGTTATCTCTATGAACAGGGCCTAAAGAGAAGCCCAGAGACTCCATACTTCTAAATAGAGCTTGGTCTGCCATGCAGGGGAACCTGGGCCATAACCCTTTTCCCTGGAGCCACTTATCCCAGACATGAATGTGGATGGCAGGGGAGCAGGATAGAGCTACAGGGGCTGTAGGTCACCTTCTCTTATGTACCCCAACACAGGCCTCTGCTCATCTCTCTTCTTCCAACATTCCTGCCACTTCCCATTTCCCTATTTTTTCACCTCCCAGTGTCTTATTCCACTCTTCTCATATCCATCAAGACTGATCTCAACTTTTGTCTCCTCCATCAGATTTTCTGACACTTTCAGCCTACATGGATTTCTCTTATTTCACAGCTATCCTTGGTTTCATCAAAAGTGTGCATGTCTTTTCTGCCTTGTTTGACTGAGAACACCTCCAAAACATAGTTCATCACAACTTTAGGTGTATAGTAGGTATCCAAATAAATGGGCTAAAGAGCTAAGAGTCTATGGGTCTATGGGAAGGTCAACTGTCTTCGATGTGGCACTTGTGTTTTCTTAGGAGGCTTCAGCTTAATATCTTTCCCACTTAATTAGCAGACCCTGTGTAGGTCAATTCACCTAGAATGTCAGCTCCAGCTGGCTACACTAACCCACACACTACTTCTTTCTCAAAATATACTTCCAGTCTTGTGTTTTGTGTATGTGTGTGATTTCATTTTTATTCACTCTCTTTTGAACTATCGGTTACTGCTAAAACTGAGTATATTTTCCCATCCAGGATGAGCTTTCTTCTCTATTCGCTGTTGATACACATGTATTTTAATTCAGTGGGGACTCGACTTGCAAAATAATGATGTCTCTTGTTAATTGGAGCAAAGCAATTGAGCTGTTTAAGAATTTCTAAATTCAAATTATTATTTCAGGAGGTCCCAAAGAACTGGGAAAATGGCTCTTTCTGTAAAATTAGTTTTCCTATCACCTTACTTCTCCATCACACTTGGTTAGTAATAACTTTGTCTCCTTAGAGACCTTGCTTTACTGTACACATTTTTTCATGTTTCAGGTCAATTTTCCTCTGTTATATCCAGAACTATGTTGCCTCTTATTGATGGAGAGGGAGGAAAATTTCTTCCTTTCCTCTTTTATATTTTACTAGTTATATGCTCAATTAAAGTTGATTGGTAGGTTTCCCAGATTCAGCCAAAAACTCTGCAAGAAACAAAACACAAAATGTGCTCATGTGCTTGGTATTTGGTGCTGACTCTCTGTCATTAAGAAAGTTTATGCTTCTAAAGCAACAGGAACAAAAAGTGTGCTGGAAACCCTTCATCAGAAGTCTCTGGGAAAGAACAGTTTGCATCTGTCACTCCTGTTCCAGCTGTGACAAAATCCCTAGTGTCTGTCTACTCCTGGGCACACTGGGATGGATGATCTGACACTGAGAGTTAATGGGTCATGCATGGGAGGCAGCTTTTTACCTTCTAAGCATTTTTAAGGAAGTAAATCCACCCTGGTGTATATGATAAGGAGTCTGACGTTCAGACCCTTCTTGGCAATCTATGCTATTTTGAATATACTGTATTGTAGATGTCCATAGTTTTATTGTGCACAATCATCATGTGTCTGGAGCATTTAGAAAAACTCCAGAGCCTCAGTTCCCAGTGTAAATAGTCTTTACATTTTAGAATTCAACAACAGCAGCAACAACAAAAACAGACCAGAGACACTAGGAAACTTGTTCAAGATCACAGAGCAGGAAAAGGTTTGAACCAGGCTGAGGAGGCAGATTTCTGGATTTCACTCAGTGCTGTATAGTGGGTAACACCAAGTACTGTCTGCTCAGCAATGTCCTTTTCAGTGGCTTCTGGAGCATCACAGCTGTCAACCCAGGCTGTTGTCAGAAAACCATTTTCTTTCTGCCTTAACCTAAGCTTTCCATTTAATCTTGGGGTGATGGTCACCAGTGTTGTTGGCCTGACAGTAGCTCTACATTTTCTACCTCTTTCTTAATCTTTTAGGACACTGGCAAGAGAAGCTTTGGTGACCCAGCCTGTCCCTAGCAATCCCATAGAAAAATGCTGTCAGGGAAACAAAACAAACCACTGCCCATTGGCTGTTAGCATAACCCGAGGGTCACAGAGGGTATTTCTAAAATCTACTGGAAGTCACTACTGCATATTAACCATCAAGATGATGTGTGCTCTTTTTATCACACACAATCAGGTTACCACAGCAATCTACAGTGGTTCAAAAACATGATGTTAGCCACACAAAACAATAACTATTTGAACAAAGAGAGAAAGCAGGCTCTGGGAAGAATTGTAGAAAATAGATTTTAGGAGGTGATTGCAAGTTTTAGAGAACAACACAGGCAACATCTCTCACGTGCAGC